GGGGGGGGGGGGTGCGGTATTGGCGGCTGATTTGCAGGGCTTCGCTAATTGCTGGCCCCGTGCACCGGCAGAGCCTGCTTCTTCCTAAAGTTGTAAGTCCCGGAATTACATATAGAAACGCCTATATATATATATATATATATATATATATATATATACCTATATAAGGTAAAATCCTTGCTCTTCCCAGAAAGGTTTCGGGGATAGGGAGAGAAGGGGGGATGGGGGGAGGGGGCTGCGAGGTTGGGGGAAAAAGACATGAATAGAAATGTATTCCGGAACCCAAAACATTGATTTAAATATATCCAATAAATTCCTTTTCTCCAGCAATACTTCATTCTGCCCAAACACCTCAGACTCATGCAGGGCTTTGACATTTATAGTTCAGACTGATGCAACAACTTTATTCCAAGGCTGAGGGAATATTGAATAAAGATGGAGAGTTAATAAAGTAATTTTTACCTACGCACATCCTTCCCCCCCCCCCCCCGAATATATGGGTTTCAATAAGCACCAGCAGAATAAATAAATATCTACAGGTAGTTCTCTTAAGGCTATGCTGGATATTTTTTTTTTTAAAGGAAAATAAAGCACGAAACAAAACGGCAGCAATCAAAGCATTAAAAATTTCAAGGCGTGAAGGTCACAAACTGGGCGGCTCTGGACTCTCTCGCTTTCTCAGGGGGGAAACGCAACTTTATTTGCTCCGTCTGCGTCCCCCCACCCCCCGATTCCCACCCAAATATATCTGGGTTTGAGGAGTCGCTTCTCCATCCTCTCTTCCCCATCTCCCTTCACCCCCTCGGTGCGTTTGGGGGGGCTGCCCTCGGATTTCTTACAAGTGCATCAAAAAAAAAAAAAGAAGAAATTCCCCGGATTTCTTACAAATGGCCCCAAAAAATCCTATTTTCCCCTTTTTATTGCTTGTGGATTGATGTTTCCCCCCTTCCTTTTGCTTTTTAACCGGAGTTTAGAGCTGTGCCTCTTGTTGAAGTGTTTGGATTTTTTATTTATTTAACACCCCCCCCTTTTTTTTTCTCTGTAAAATAAGTCTGCAGGGACGTGTGAAGAATAGTTGTACAAGAATCTGGCTCTTTTGTCTATAAAGCAGCCCTCCCACCGCTCTCCATCCCTCGTCCCCCCACCAGCACAACCGTGTCGAGAAACACTTTGGGAGGGACAAAACCCAGAGAAACGCAGCACCTCGGCAGAGAAAAGGGAAAAAAAAAAAAAGGGGAAAAAAATTTGAAAAAATCTCATTTTGAGCTTTATTTCTTTTTCCTACCTAGGATGAGGGCTGCGAAATATAGATCTGGTTACCATCGCGGGGACATTTTTAAGTACAAAGCGCCTTTTTGACAGTACTGAAGAAAAATAAGTATGCATTGTCTCTCCGGATTCATTGTGTTGGCTATTACCATACTGACCGTTTGGTAACCTGTACCTCAGCCCATTAGCAATCTGTGCTTTCCAGAAAAAAATGAAGTACCTATCTACTGGGGGTTTGTTATCCCGTGTTTAATAATAATAGGAAAAGCGGGGTAAAAGCTCGCGGTGGATGAACTCTGCCTCCTTGAGATGCGGGAGGTGGGAATCAGTTTTGGAGTGGAGTTTTATTCCGAGCTTGTTTTAAGGTGATTATTGCACAATTAGTGGTAGGAGAACTAAAAACCTCTGTGTATATATATTTTTTTAATTATTTTTTTTTAATAGTTGGGTTCCCTCTGCCATAGGCAATGACACGTAATTAATTAAATTTTATTTTTTTCCTACCAACTCGAAAGCAGCGAGTGCAGAGAAGAGCTTTTCTTTTTGTCCCTTCCTAATGCAAATAGACAAGGTCTAATTTATGCAAAGAAATATGCAAATGTTTAATTGATTTTTTTCTTAAATCTGTTGTCAGTAAAAGTAATGAATCGGCCTAAAACGATTTTAATAAGCAAAGCCTGTCACCCAAAGTCCTAGCCTTCACATTTTTCTTTTGAGCCTCTTTCGTCTCAAAGAAACTAATAATGTAAATATTTATCCCTTCATTTTAACGTATTAAAGATGAATCCCTCTTGTTTGCGAACGAACTGAAAAAATAAAATAAAATATGCAAACCACTTTCTCCATCTCTCCCTCCCCCCGCCTTCTCACCCCACCCAGGAATTCAATTTTCTTCAAATCTCGTTGAAAGTGGCTTTTTAAAAAGTGGGCGCATTTTAATATTGGTTAGACAGCGTGACCTGAATTTCACCTCAACTGTTTGACTTGATCCAATAGGTCACTGCCAAGGAGTTATTGATGGGGGAACTCCATTGAAATTTCTCTCCTCACAAATGGCCTTTAGATCTTCTAGCGAGTTCAATAACTAGTTATAATGTAGAAGGGGAAAAATGAAGCCCAGAGGCAAACTAATTTGATGTTTCATTTTTATGCTGGAGAAATTGTTGGTTTTTGTTCCTCTCACCTCCCGCTCGGCCCCTCTCTGCCTCTCCAAAAAGGAGGGGGGGGGTGGAAAAAATAAAAATACTCTGGTTTGAGCGAAGCCCCCTCTTAGACGAGGTTTGGCTCTGCTAGAAATATCTGCTATTTTATTTATAATTTAATTGGCATTGGCGCTTCAGCCCGGGAACTCCTCGGGACTCGGTATAGCGGGGAGCCCAGCAAGACTGAAACTTGCTGCTTGGTAGGAAACACACTTTTTTTTCCTTTTTTTTTCCTGTTTTTTTCTTGGTTTTTTTCCTTTTCTGTTTTTCTTTTTTTCCTTTCTCTTATTCTTTTTTCTCCCCCCCCCCCCCCACTTTTTGGGGGAAGGGTTTTGTTCAAAATAAATCAAAGGCACCAACAACCAAGTTGCAACTCTCCCCTCTTCAACTTCTCCTGGGGTTTAGCGGGACCAGGCAGCCCCAGCTTTCTGCTCCCCAGCAAATCGACCCCCTGGAAGAGACGCTCGGATCTGGAGCGGAGCAATAACCCTCACCCTCATTTTATTCCCCGGGTTTTTATTTGTGCGCTGGGTCACCCTAGTTCATGTGAC